TGAGCCCCAACTGCTGCTCGGCCGTGTTGAAGGCTTGCTGAAGGTTGTAGGTCGCGTTGGACTTGGTCAGCTTGTGGAAGTCGATGAGGTCCGGCCTGCAAGCGGGACAACAGCCGCTTCGAGCCCCCCACCCCATGGAGGGGGCCCAGGTGTCCAGGTTGCCCACCCCTCTCTCCCCCTCGGCAGACCTGTGCTTGTGGATGAGGGCGTTGAAGGCCAACCCATCCCTCCAACTGGTGGTGAAGTTCTGGATGTTCACCTCGGGGTAGCTGTGGGGAAAGGGGGGGCGGGTCACAGGGCGCTGGATCCGTCGCCGGTCCGTGGTGGGGGCGGGGGGGTCCATCCCAGCACCACGATGGTAGGGTCACTGCTCACCCCGCCGTCTTCATCTGGCACCAGAGCAGCAGAGCATCCTTGGCTGAACGCGTCTCCCGGTTGTCTTCGGTCTTGATTTTGATCACCTGGATCTGGGGAAAGCCAAGGGGCACTGACGCACGGCGAGGTCCCAGGGTGGGGACATCATCCCCGGGGTGAGGCCAGCCCCACCTCGCTACCTGGAAGCGCAGGATGATGGTCCAGATGAGGCCAAGAGTGAGGCGGTGGTTGCCATCCACGATGTCGTGGGAGCCCACGTTCTCCAGGTGCACCCGTTGCTCCTTGAGGAACTGCAGCGCCTTGTCCACGTTCTCCAACGAGTGGATTCGCATCCGGCCCCGCGTGGGTTTGGGCTGTGGGAGACACCGGAGCCCATCAACCCCACCTTGGAGAAGATCCTCCCACCCAACTCAACCCAACCCAATGGTAGGTGGGACCTGGGGGTTGGTGGTGGTAATGGGGAGATCCCAATTTAACCCAGCCTGGGTGGATGGGACCTGGTGGTGGTGATGGTGGGGATGAAGAGGTCCCAACTCAACCGAGCCTGGTGGTAGATGGGACCTGGGGGTGGTGGTGGTGATGGGGAGGTCCCAATTCAACTCAGCTTGAGTGGATGGGACCTGGGTGGTGCTGATGGTGGGGATGAGGAGGTCCCAACTGAACCCAATCCAGTGGTAGGTGGGACCTGGGGGGGGTGGTGGTGATGAGGAGGTCCCAACTCAACCCAACCTGGGTGGATAGGACCTGGGTGGTGGTGATGGTGATGGGGAGATCTCAACTCAACCCAACCTGGTGGTAGATGGGACCTGAGCGGTGGTGGTGATGAGGAGGTCCCAACTCAACCCAACCCGGTGGTCAGTGGGACCTGGGGGGTGGTGACGGTGACGGGGAGGTCCCGGCTCTCACCAGCTGCTCCCCGGAGAGCACCTCCAGCAGGCGGGTGAGGACGTAACCGTCGCGGAGGTCGGCGTAGAGGTCCCCGATGCGACAGGAGACGCGAGCGAGGTGGGAATTCACCCATTTGGTGAAGGTCTTCTTCTGCACCGCGTCCCTCTCATCTACCCGGTGAAGGAAAGGGGTTC